TTTAAAAGTCTGAGGAAAAGATGTTATAAAACAAAAACTTTAAAATTTAGACTGGAAGGATTGTCAAGCATTTAAAATTTCAGCAGAAACCAATATCAAATCCTCAAAGAAAATGTGTTATGAAACAACCCCATGAAAAAGTGTTTTGAAACAACAATTATTAAATTTAGACTGGAAGGATTGTCAAACAGCGAAAATGTTCACAATTTCAATAAAGAGATGCTATATTTAGTAATAGAATCTATTTCTCTGATCAATTTTAGATTATATATGATCTAAAATTTACATCATTTTATGTGATTTGTGGTTATTGAATCTTCCTTTTTGCCATAAGTTTGACAGTCTTTTCGATTGTATCTCAATAGCAGTGCTTTAACAGCAAAAAAGTTATAATATATGTTTTTGAAATCGGACAAGTAAAAAGCACCAAGTACAAAAAACTGAAAAAAAAGGTTCAACAAGAAAAGTACAATTGTTTGAGTTATTGTAAATTAATGAAGTATTAAAGTAGTTTTTATGATAATTTCTCAAGGATTTTTCTCATTTCTCTTTCTTAGTCCTAGTACATATGCGTGGGAAGGTGGAACCTTGTTGGCCAAAGATCCACAGATGAAAAAAATGTCAGTCAGTCGAGAGGAATATGAGGAGAATGGACATAACATTTGTTTTGAGAAGTTTGACGTATGAAATATACACTCGTCAATATCGAACAAGATTTTTGTACAATGTATGAGCACAGATTTTTTGTGTTATCTGGAGAAGAATGTTATAGCATGATAACATAAACTAAACTTTTAGTCAAAGAATTAGTGTCATGTGTACAAACAGGTAGAAAACAGAGAACAGACTGTTGCTAAGAATCTATGAGATTGATATAAGACCAGTAATGAACAGTTTGACAAGAGACGAAAGAAACTTGTATTTAATGTTTAAGTCAGCTGTTGTTATTATTCTACCAAATGCAATAAATATATAAAAATTTGATTTCATTAAAAAAATATACATCAGAGGTATAATAATGTGTGCATTTGTCTTATAAGTTCACAAAGACCGATCATCACTCTTTTGTAGTAAAAGTCTTGTATAAACAGAAGATATAGGATAGCAATCAATAAGACAGCAACATAACACAATAAACAATATTATTTGAGAACTCAAAGGACAAGGTCACTATAATGCTTTTTACAATGAGTAGGCTAGATACAAGTATCTGCTTCATTAGGTGTCTTGTTAGGGTCTGTCTTTCATAACCTCACATCAGAGTTGTAAAGGGGTGATAGTGATATGTTTATAACTTTATCTGTCCATAGCAATACCGTAAACACAATATTTGAGTGTAAAAAGGCAATAATTTTGTATCATTTGATCTTGTATTTTGATTTTGCTTATGACAGGTGCCACATGTGGAGTGGGATCAGTATACCCTTCTGGAGCAGCTGAGATCACTCCAAGGTTTTTGATAAAATCGGGTTGCTGAGTCTTCTAGTTTTCTATGTATTGTTTTGTGGACTATTGTCTTTCATCCTTTTGGTTTTTTGCCACAGTATCGTCAGTTTCTATTTTACTTATGACCAAGGATCCGGAAATTTTTTCACACAATTTCCGTCATTTTGAGATGACTTAAAAGTTGGTGCCTTTTTTCCAAATTGTCGAAATCACACTAGATTCGTAGCATCAACGAACTTGTATTGACTGTTTCGTCGCATTTACTACATGAATTTTCTTACCATTTTTCTAAAAACATTCAATGACAGTTTAGGGAAGGCTACAGTTTAAAATTAAAATGATTTTAATGACTCAAAATCGTAAATTTCTTAGACATATGGAAACTTATATCATAGGTTTATATCAGCAATGACTTGGAGGAGTTCGAAAATCAGTGTGGATCAATAATATTATAAGTTATGCCCCTTGGAAACATTAATTATATGGAAAATTGCATCGTTTGCGCTCTAATGTGTACATTTCTTGCCAGATTTATATAAAACTTATATTGTAGGTTTATATCAGCGATGTCTAGGACGAGTTTGAAAATCAGTGTCGATCAATCATTTTTACTAGAGTTCTTCCCCTTAGAAATATTAATTATTTGGAATATTGCAATGTTAGTGCTCTCATGTGTACAATTTTTGCCAGATTCTTATGAAACTTATATCATAGGTTTATAACAGCAATGTCTGGGACAAGTTTGAAAATCAGTGCCGATATTATTTTTTAACGAGTTATGGCCCTTAGATATATTTTTTATATGGAAATTTGCATTGTTAGCGCTCTGACATGTAAAATTTTTGCCAGATTTTTGTCAAATTCATACCAAAGTTTAATATCAGCAATGTCGTGGACAATTTCGATAATAATTGCCAATCAAATATTTTTAATAAGTTATGCCCCTTGGAAATATTAAATAGATCAGAAATTGCTCTTCAGCCTTCAACTCTACAAGATAATTTTAAAAAGTTTTTGAAAAAAAAATCAAAAAATTTTGAACAGATAAAATATGTGTAAAGTGGGGCACATTGAAACTCTGTTCTTTTATTAAAGTAAATATTATGTGACAAAATGGTTATGTGTAGTATACATTAATGAGGCATCATGGTTTCCTACATATTAAAAGAGATTGATTATTACTATGATCATTGGGTGGGAAACAAATGGATGACTGAACAAGAAGAGCTCACTTGGAATTTTATATGGAGATCTTGCATCAATGATTTTTTTGCTGTTTAATGTATATTTTCAAGAGCATAAATGGTAATTACTACAAAAAGGGATCTATTGATGATTTGCGTCATGTTGACTTATTTGTAGGTCTTACTTTGCTGCTCAAAGTTTCTCTCTATGATAGTTTCTGCAAAAAAAATGATCTTTCAAGGGCAATAACTCCTAAAAGGGATCAGTTGAAGAATTCTGTCTTTAGACTTATTGGTAGATGTCACTTTGCTGATGATTTTTTTTGTTTAAAATTTCTATCTATGATTATTTTCAGGATAACCAAAAATTGATAAAATTTTCATAAAAATTATTATTTCAGGGGCAATAACACAGTCTGAAAATTACATAGCAAATAAATCTTGACCTACTGATCAATTTGATCCCATTTCATTTTGGTCTAACTGCTTTAGTTTTTAAGATACAAGCCAAAAACTGCATTTTACCCTTATGTTCTTTTTTAGCCATGGTGGCCATGTTTGTTGACCAACCAGAATAAAAAAAATACAAAACTTTATACTAGATACCATAAGGATCATTCACCCTAAGTTTGGTTTAAATTGGTTCTGTAGTTTCAGAGATGTTTGTAAAGTTTACATGGGAGGCTGACGAAAACCATTACTGATGCCTAGTGATGACAATAGCTCACATGGCCCTACAACTAGCTTACCTCCTCAATCTTTTCATTGGTTATTGCTGTCATTTTTATTTTTCATTGTCTACTGAGACATTTTGTTGAAGGATATTTGTCCATTTTACTAAATTTTAGCATTGATAGCTTGCTGTCCAACTTTTCAAACTTTTGTTTTGGTCACTGCTTTTAAACTGTGGGCTCCATTGACCAAGTCTTATGTAGATGAAATGTGTGTCTGGCATATTAAATTATATGCCTAGTTCTATAATGAGCTTAACTGGATCAATGCACTCCTGGGGGATATTTTGACCCAAAGGGTTTCACCAGCCAAGTAGTCGGTGCTCATGTGCTGACATGAATTATCATCCTGGGGGATATTTTGACCCAAAGGGTTTCACCAGCCAAGTAGTCGGTGCTCATGTGCTGACATGAATTATCATCCTGGTGGATATTTTGTCCCAAAGGGTTTCACCAGCCAAGTAGTCCGTGCTCCTGTGCTGACATGAATTATCATTGATGCAGTTATATTCTGTAAATTTACTTTTAATAAAATATTAAAACCATTCAAAACACCAAGGTTTTGCTACCCACATGTCCACAGGCAGGCAGAGTTGACCATGGCCAGATTTGACACACCTTTCCGGAACTATCTAGACCAGATGATATAAAAGTTAATCACAATAAAAATTCTGCAATGACCAGCTACCAACAGGATGACCACTAACTTGAACGAAGGAATAAAAAATGGCACATAATTAGGAAAGCGTGGTCAAAATGTGATGTTTTAGTAAATTAAAACACGCTACCATTTAATAAAATTCCTCTGACAAATCTTCAAAGAAGATATATTTTTTTTATTAACAACAAAATCAACAACTGTTTTACCTGTAACTTTATGTTGGCAGGTAGAGTAAACTTCGCATACGATTAAAAAAAAATGCCCTCCAGAAGTCTATTGAGGACAGTAGGATGACCTTTGATTAGGATGTCTTTTTTTGAAACTAATATTGATGGAGTCTGTATCCTGGTAAACAAGGAATTTGGATATACCATCACATTAATGAAATACATCTATACATCATCACATTACTATGATGCTGAAAGGCCCTGGGAGAACACTGACATCTTTTATCCATATTTCTTTTTGTACATTTAGTGCAATCACTTCTGGATCATACAAAAGGAGATGCAATTTAAAAATGGAATTTTTATTTTGTACAATGTAAAAAGACATGATGAAATTTGAATCATATGAGTTATTAAAAACATGTTGAAAGAATGTGTGTTAATGTATATTTTTAGTTCTAATTCAACAGATTTATTTCCATTTTGATTTAACATTACCTTACTTTATATTGAAATAGACAAAATATAGCTAATATGAACACTGTCACACATATCTTATGATTGAATATTACATGTTAGTACATGTACATGATTGTTCATGAATAATTCTTTCATTTTGTCCACGATTTACACATTTTCCTTTTATTACCACATCAGCACAATTTTACATGGAAAAAAAAAAATTGATTACTAACATATCCATTTTTAATAAAGATATATAATTTGAGATTTTTTATCGAGTACTATAAATGTAACTTCTTTGCTTTAAAATAATATTAAAAATTGAATTCAAATCTACCATTTTAAAAAAAAAATATCTGTTATATAAATTTTGTCCCCAACATTGCATATTTGATATGAGAATTTCATCTCCTTTTATTTATATTTCAGCTGCCTTCCTCTGACCTGTTTTCTCTGTCGACCATTCTTTTTCTCAACTTTTAAAAGTCAATTCACAAATCAAGTATAAAATATCTTTACATTAAATTCAAAATGGCCGACCACCTCTTCTCATTGGAAGACCACTTCTTGGTGGTGTTACTGCTATGTCAATATAATCTCCTGTCTGAAATCTTTTGGATGCTAAAGTAACATTATCATCTTGACCTCTATGACCAGAACAGGTTGTACCGATTTCCCGAAGTCTGTACACTGGTGTTCTTAAATCTGGATAAACTATGCCAAAATCAAAAAATGTTCCTTTTCTTCTAGAATCTGGATTTACTTCTTTTACTAGACTTGTTAATTCCTTCAATGTTGCATCTTTCCTGAAAATATAGAATATTAATAATGTAAAACTTTTATTGTAAGCTAGAACACCTGGAATAATAATGTCAAATTCTCAGAGTACTTAGATAGATCTTGTCATGCTGATCATTTTTGCAGTTTACACTTTTGACTTATCCTACAGTTTTATAGATACCAGTAACAAGTAAAAAAACAGTAAAAACTTACATTTCAGGGGCAATAACTCCATATAAGTTTTTTTTTTAAACAAGAAGATGTGGTATGATTGCCAATGAGACAACTCTCCACCAGAGACTAAATGACATAGAAGTTGTAAGCCTACTTTTTTTGAAAAAAATTGTCAAGAAATGCCAAAATTAGTTAAAAATTAACAATTAAAAAAAAAACCAGGGTAGATAGAGCTTGTTGTGCTGACTATTTCAACTCTTGTCGTTTTTCTTTAATTGGTAGTTTTTGAGATATTAGCCACAGTGGTCAGGTGGGTTGATCAACCTGGACGAAAATCACACACTTTATAGTTGACATTGATATCCTATATAAGATGAAGTACACAACTTTGGTTTCAATCTATTGAGCCGTTTCTGAGGAGAAGATTTTGAAAAAAAAGTTTATGGACAGCCGATGCAAAGTGATGGCAAAAGCTCATATGGCCCTTCATTCAAGGTGAGCTAAAAACTACATTACATCCAATTAAAAAATATTGCCTTTTCCAAAATGAGCATGAAAAACCTGATTCACAACTTTGCAGCCATTTGAAATAATGTTTATTTCTAACATGTTTAATACAGTTTGTACGAATGCTCTAAAATCAAAGGCAAACTGAAAGTTACTACTACTTAAATCCATGACAAGCTTGTCATAATCATACCTAACTCTAAGGATTGAACATAAAAATGAAACTCTGAGACTGTGTTATCATCAAACATACCAAAAATGTCATTTTTTTTGTAAATAAACAATAATCAAGAACTACAATCAGTAACAGCAAAAACCCAAATGATAACATTTAAAGGAGATAAATTTCTTTTATAAAAATATCAAAACAATAAGATCATGATGTGCAAGAAAACTAATTTCGACATGCACAACTAACAGAAAATAAAAGTTATTGAGATCAAAAGAAGCTTCAAATTGTTTCATTTTGTCATACTCTCATTACCCTGTTCTTTTATTACATGTCCTTTGATTATAGTTCCAGCCATACAATGACCAGTAATAGTTTACATCTTTGGTTCTTTGGTCTTCCTGGATATTTATCTTATTGGCAATCACACCACAGTTCCTTTTAAAATATTTTTATATATTATCTTTTTTTATTCTGTGTAAATTTTTGCAAAACTTGAGGTATTGAAGAACCTACTCATAGAACCAGGAAAGGAAACAATGGATAAGAGTTAAATAAATAGCAGTATGGGTAATAAAATAAAGGATCTGTTTTACTTTCAAATAAAACTTACCATGTATAAATTTGAAGTTCATTACTTGGTGTCTGTCCCCTCTGAAAATCACCCAATTGATGGTGTCTACCTTGGTTACAAAATACCCTCAGTAACAAAGGACATGTCTGAAATGTTGGGAAAGTTGTATATTATGAATGAATTAACAATAAACAGATCTGTCTGTATTACATGTTTTATTCTTTTTTTGTGTTTTGCCTTCAGTGTTCCAACATTTGATTGAATGTGAAACTTTATTGCGTATATTACAGTGCCCATATGTTTATAATGGAGCAGTAGGATGTTTGACAATCTATCAGAAACAATCAATTTCATTTAATTAACAACAAAAAAAACACTCTTTCATACATTATTTCTGAGGTAATAAAATACCAAAATACACCATGCAGCATACACGTTTCATATTAAAACTTTTTATTTTGAAGGAGGAGATTAAAATCAAAGTTGTAGTGTAGATAAGGATAGTCTTGTAATGAGAAAAGTTGGAGTCATTCTAGGCGCCAATATTGTGTATTATTATGATGATAACCATTGTTTGGAGTTCGAATTGTTTAAAACTTTAACATAAAAGTATCTTGAATCATCATGATCATGTTTTATATACATACATTGTACTTACTAACCGCTGACTTAAATTTATGCACTTTTGTACAATTTTCTTTTCAAGACAAGATTTTTTTTTCAAGTAGTGCATATTAGATTGGTTTGACTGTTATTCTTGGAGCAGGGTGTCAAGCCTAACAGTATTTTATTTATACTAATTTGTCTTATGGTATATGAAATTTTGCCAGTAAATATTCATGATATTAAGTCGATCAAAGATATAGTTGCTTGTCCACTATCATATATCATAGAAATACATCTCTACAAAAACATATAGCCAGCAAAACAGTAAATTAACTCTAATCTCTAAATCCCAAAAGGACTACTAGTATACACCTTATCGCTATTTGTCCGCCATTACTGGACATCACACAAGTTCCCGTAAAATTTTGACGTCATAATAGAAAATATCTGACGCCACAATGGAAAAGTGATTGTTGTATGACGTCAAGAGTTCGAGCGGGACTAATTCTCGGGTCAAGCGGGATTAGCGATAAGGTGTATTAATAGTAATACCACTGTCCTTAGAACTTGCTTTGTCTTTTTTACCTTTTCTCTGTCCACTGGAGCTTCTGTCTCCTTCTGTTGTTCTTCCACAACGGATTCGACAGGCATAGTAAACTAAAAATGCTATATTGACTCTGAATTCAGAAGAAATCGTTATTGCTCAAACCGGCAAGCTTTTTTTTATAAGTTAAACAACTTTTGTATGTAAATAGTGTAATGTTCATTTAAAAATTTTGGGAAGTACATTAACATAAAGTATGGGTTTGTTTAACAATTAATTTTTCTTTAAATCTATTGAATAAATATTTCTTTTTCTAAAAATAAACACCTAAACAAGAATTAATTATAATAATTAGATAAATAATATCAGGTTTAGAAAAAAACAGAATCTTGGCTGAATTTCAACACTTTACTGTAAATTAATCTGAAGGGAAGTCACTCTAAATCCCGCGAATTTTTATGAAGGATTCAAATACAGTACATAAATGATTTAAAGACATACTGGCATTGGAATGTTCAGCAGTGGCGGATCCAGAACTTTTCATAAAGGGGGGGGGGGGGGGGGGGGGGGGGGGGGGGGTGGGGGGGCTCCAGTCATGCTTCAGTGATTCCCTATATAATCAACAAAATTTTTCCCACGAAAGGGGGGGCCCTTCCTCTAAGACCCCCCCCCCCCCCCCCCCCCCCCCCCCCCCCCCCCCCCCCCCCCCCCGGATCCGCCTATGTACAGTACAGGTCACTGGCCAGAAATTCTGTTGTGATCAGGAAAAGTTGACTCAACAGACATAGTGAAATTGTCAGGATAATGTTACAACTTGGATTAAAATATCCTTTTATATATTATCCCATCAGAGACATATCTTCATTTATATGTTTATGTGTTATGAATGAGAATGTATTTTGTATTGTTGTCATTATGTCCCGTCAGGGGCCTTTAATTTGAAAAAAAAGGACTTTGAACTTTATAATACAATATTATATGTCTCAGATCCCATTAAGGTTTATGACCCCTTCTGATCCATCGTAGGCTATCAAATGTTACAAAAATACTGAATACAAGAGACGTGCCATTTTGTACATAAACATATAAACGTCTTTCACTGTAATAATATTTATTGTTTGTTTCATTGTATTCAGAGACATATATACACAAAGATTGGCAACTCCATGAAATCACGTTAAATCGCGCTGCCCGGTTTGAAAATCTCACCAATGAATTACTCTACGAATCCGGGACGAATAACCCCTGATAGCTAACAAAAAAAACACAATTGGAAACTTACCTCAGATCAACATGGTCAAATAATTTCTTTTCTAAAAAGCTACTTGAAAATCGTTGTATTTATTATTATGTATTTATTGAGAAAAATATTTTCTGCTTTTCGGTATTTCTAATTATTTTAAGATTAAAATCTGGGAATGATCATTATATTGATAATGCAAGAAACATTTCTGCACTTCATTTCTTTGCTAAATTTGCTCCTTTAATAATTACACAGTGAAATTATGTCTAAGTCGTTCTCTCCGGTAACTAATTCCTTAGAGGTGTGATTGTGGATTCACAGGTGTGTAATTACGTAATTTATTGCTCTCCTATCACCTGAAATTTGCCGGAGGTGAAGTTCTAAAGGGATTATCACTTGGTAATTGTTTTTACAACTAAAAAAATGCTGACATATTATTTTAACCATGACCAGAACTTTATTGAAACAGAAGCACTGGGCAATACTATAGTATTCAATCAGGAAAACAAAAATAGTCAATTAACATGTTTAGAAAAGGAATAAAACAACCTTTTCATAAATGAAAAATATAGCCAGTGGAATTTTGTCAAATGTCCAATTTTGTCTATCTTTATCTTTACTCTTTGCTGTCTGGAAGTGAACCTCGAGTTTGAAATTAGACAGATTTGAAATTGTTCATAAGTTCTATCTGATCTTTTGTGGGTTCATGTTGCTCAAGGTAATTTTCGGCGTAGTGCTATATGGGTTGTCATTTTCTTTTCTTTTCTTATTTTTTTTCCTACTGTTACATGACCTTGTCATTTTTGTATTGCCCCTTGACATCTTCTGCCTCTGTTTGCTTATTTTAAGCTACTTTGGTCATTCTAAAGATTTAAAATAAACCTTAACCACTAATATCTCTTGTGGTTTGTTTTAATAGGATAGTGTCTCATTCCCTGAATTTGTTATACAGGAATTCATTTTAATATCAGTTTTTTTATTAGCAAATAAACTGCTTGGGGCTCTTCACACAACTAATTTTTAGGACGGAATGCATCAATAGGTATAGTATGTGCTATTGTACTACACAAGAATTCTTTAACATACATATATGTGTTAAGAATATTTTTGTTGTTGGGTTGTTGTCTCATTGACATATACAGCACATCTCCTTTTACTCATAGCATCAATGAATTGCAGAAAATATTTGCATATTGCATACACATTTTTCAAAACACCAGAGGTGATTTAGTGATCACAGAATGAGGACATGTAAAACTGAAACAACACTACAGATAAGTACAAACAAGCACCATTGTAAAAGGACACCATTAAAGACTAGTGTACCAGTAGAGTGAACATTTCTTGCTTCTTATTCTACATCTTTTTTCATTTCATGTAAAGTCAAATATGTTACTTTCCATATACATGTAGAGGAAGGACTTTGTGAATCGAAATATTTAGCTTTTTTAAGTACATGTACTGTCAAGTTATATGTTCATAGGGGTGTTGTGGCATAAACCAATATAACATTTTCTCTTTTTACATTATTTTCTGTTTTCATAATGTACAAAAATATTATAGAGTGGCATTCCAATGATAGTCATACCTGTACATCATTGTCTCATTGGCAATCATGCTACATCACCATATTGTTATACATGTACATGTATGTATACTTTGTAAACTTTTCGTAAAGAAGACAAAGGAAGTTGAACACAAGATATTTATTTGCATTTCTTTCCATATGGTCTCTGCACAACTGCCACTGTACCACTTCTGCTTCAAATACAATAGATTGGAAGCAGAGTCTTGTATTTGTTTTTAGTTCAATGATACCACCATCAATTGCACAAAAAGCGCATACATCAGGTTTGGCATATGAACTACAATAATATGGTGTTTTCACAGGATAAACACATGTAAGTTTTTCTCTCACAAAAACATGTTTAAGTATCATACTGATAGGCATGATAGGAGTAGCAATCGGTCCACTACATGACTGTGTTGTCATATTCTGAAAAAAGTAATCACTAATAGTTGTTCTATGCCAGGGAGTCTTATTTTCAAACAGAAAGAATTTGGAGTCCTGCATTCAGCACATGTTATAACATCTCTTGTATGCTGGGCTGTTAGGGAAATTTTCTCAATATCTTTGTTCTTTTTATAACAGGATCCTGTTAAAAAAGAAAAAAAATGCTGTCAGATACTGAATGTAAATATATATATATAAACTACAAGTAACCTACATGTACACTATATTTTTCTGCCAGGAGACAGAATACAATTATATATTTTTATTTGGCTTAAACTGGTGACATTTGATTTCAGGAAACAACTATTTAACTCTGAGATAGGGCTATTGGCTTTTAACTTTATATTATTATGATTTGCATTTTTGACAAAAAGAAAATTCTAATTGAGAGTTTTTTTCTAATGAAATGTTGTATGCAAACAATATTTTCTATAAAATGTTGTCAGGAGAAGAATAATTCCTGAGGAACATTATTTTCTGATGTTTCAAGAGATGTAAGTAGAATAAATCTTTGAAATTAAATAAATTTTTAGCAGACACACTAGAACAGGGTTCTGTTGATTTGTATGACCAAAATAACATGGCTTCCAGCTATAATTCTGCCTTTTTTTTTTATTTACATCAAAGTGGGTGAAATATTTAAAAAGTCAACCTGTATAGACAGAGCCTGTATGTCTTAAGAAAGTAATTCATGTAATAAGTACAATCATTATCTGAAGATGAACCAGTTTTAAAACCAAGGACTAGTGCAGGGGTCTGTGTATAAATTAACAAAATGAACATAGCTGACAGCTATTGTACTGATTCTTTTTATGCATCAAATTGATTGAAAATTATAAAAATGCAACCATTATAGACAAAGCCTGTATGTCTTAGGAAAGTAATTCATGTGATAAGTACAACCATTCTCTGAAGATGAGCAAGTATTAAAACCAGATACTAGTACATGTACAGGGGTTTGTTATATAAATAACCAAATCAACATAGCCGACAGCCATAATACTGATTTTTTTTGGTGTAAATTGCATCAAAATGGATGAAAATTTTCAAAATTCAACTGATATAGACAGAGCCTGAATGTCTTAAGAAGCTATTTCATCTGCAAATAGTTTTTGTCGAGCCTGCGACTTTTGTCGCAGAAAGCTCGACATAGGGATAGCGATCCGGCGGCGGCGGCTACGGCGGCGGCGTTAGCTAACTTCTTAAAAGCTTTATATTTTAGAAGGTGGAAGGTCTGGATGCTTCATACTTTGTATATGGATGCCTCATGTTACGAAGTTTCCGTCAGTCACATGTCCAATGTCCTTGACCTCATTTTCATGGTTCAGTGACTACTTGAAAAAAAAGTTCAGATTTTTTGTAATGTTAGATTCTCTCTTATTATAAGTAATAAGATAACTATATTTGGTATGTGCGTACCTTGCAAGGTCCTCATGCCCGTCAGACAGTTTTCACTTGACCTCGACCTCATTTCATGGATCAGTGAACAAGGTTAAGTTTTGGTGGTCAAGTCCATATCTCAGATACTATAAGCAATAGGTCTAGTATATTCGGTGTATGGAAGGACTGTAAGGTGTACATGTCCAACTGGCAGGTGTCATCTGACCTTGACCTCATTTTCATGGTTCAGTGGTTATAGTTAAGTTTTTGTGTTTTGGTCTGTTTTTCTTATACTGTATGCCATAGGTCTACTATATTTGGTGTATGGAATGATTGTAAGGTGTACATGTCTAGCGGGCAGGTGTCATCTGACCTTGACCTTATTTTCATGGTTCAGTGGTCAAAGTTAAGTTTTTGAGTTTTGGTCTTTTTTTCTAATACTATGTGCAATAGTTCAACTATATTTGGTATGTGCGTACCTTGCAAGGTCCTCATGCCCGTCAGACAGTTTTCACTTGACCTCGACCTCATTTCATGGATCAATGAACAAGGTT